AAGGAAAGCTACACGCTCAGCATGAGTAGGTCCAGAAACAGAAGCAACATAAGGGCTTTGCATCCTCGAATAAAACTCAGTAATCCTCTTATCAAAATTCGGAGCAACACCAGTAACCAAAATGTCAGGAAATATAGTATCGCCCAGAGGGGGAGGTTTACTAAAGCCCCTACGTCTCTCAGAGTAATGGATATCGGGCCAAGAGGAAAAACAAAAGTATTATATTCAGAAGACCAAAAACTCAATGCAACTGGAAAAAGCACCGAATCATAAATTGGGGGATGAAGGGTAATCTCCAACAAATCCGAAATATGTGCACGATCAAAAAGTGCTTTTGTGGGGCCATGTCTCACCAAACGTGCATGCCAAAAAGGGAAAGAAGAATCAGTTTTAGGCCAAGTACGAATACCTCGCTTTTGGATGGACTTCAACGGTAGCGAGTTCAAAAAGTAGAGGTTTTCCGTGCAAGGGAACACTTGGCCCGCTGCCACCTTTCTCTATAGATTCAACATCAGTGAACATCGGACCAAGATAGACCTCATTATGGTCTAGATTAGCCGGTGCAAGATAGGAAGGGTTTACATACTGCCGGGTGAGGAGGTTTTGAAAATCCTCGAAACCAAAAGGGTTATCCGAATGGGTTTGAGAGGTAGCCATTGAACGCGAAATACGAGTTTATCTAAGTTTGCTGGAGAAACGTAGAAGAGAAGCAAGACGACGAACAGTAAAATAGTGGGTGAAAAGACGCGAAGCATGGAGACGTTGTTTAGTGGTGCAATGAAATGACGCGATTCTTGGGTTTATGGGGGTTGTAACGTCACACATTTCCAGACAATTAGAAGAAAGTGATGATTGGAAATCCTTGGGAATTTCGAATGTTGCTAGAAGATACAAAGGTGAATATGGCGAAAATTAATGAATATTAATTTTGCCATATTGGGGAGTAATTATTGACACACAAAAATGTACAGCCCAATTCAAACGGCCCAAAGAGAGGAAACGGCCCAAGAGAAGAAATGGCCCAAGAGAGGAAGCCTAGTCAAAGAGATCAGGATAAAGGCCCAATCAAGAATGTCGTTAAGTATGATGAAAGCCCACAAACAAAGGAACAGCGTCGCCCAAACCTGCATGAATGCCCAGAGGTTGAGCGAATGAAGTACATTATGGTCGCCCAGAGGGAAGAACCAATTGTCGCCCAAACTGGTCAATCGCCCAGAATCCTAGTGATGATTAAATCATGTTATCGCGATTTAAAGCGGTTTGAACATGTCACGACTACACCCCACGATTTGAGAAGATTAGTGGCAAACAGTTATGAAGAAAACGTGGTGACAGGAGTTACGAATTGTAGTTATTAGTCAGTCGGCCATTATGAAGGAAATGGGGTAGTTATAAGTAGTTTCCAAGCGGTTAAGAAACTGCACAAAGAGTATAAAAGAAAGAAGAGGCAATGAAGAAAGCCCAAAAAAATTCACTCTCAAACAGAGAATATGTAATTTCTTTTTTCTTAGATTAGCTTTAATTAATTCACTTCCTTGTACTCGTGTGCTTGCGCCCCTTGGAGGCATGTTGTTCATATCCAAATTGTGATCTTCAAGTTTGATAAACACCCCTTTTTGGAACTTTGTTCCAAGAGGTTTGTTCCTTATACAATCGTCTGACTCTCTTTTAATTGTTAGCGACAAAACACGCGAAACAGTTTCACACATATTAATGAACAATAATCAATTCTCGTCTACACACAATGCATTAATGCGATAAATATATCCTCCAAATTCAATAATTTGCAAATGCGACGCAAAATTAAAATAAAATACTAGATAATTTTAGCTTCAAAAACATCCAAGAAATTACGGAACAGTTCCATTGGCACGATATTTTGCTGCCATATCTTCTGCCTTGAGAAGATCTTCCTCGCGTTTGGCTTCAATAATCGCTTTCTTTTCTTTGGCCTCTTTGTGAACCTGAGCAGCTTCGTTTTTCATTTTCTCCACGTATTCTGCTTCCTTTTTCTTTTGCTCCTCCTAAAACGCCATTGCATATTACAAGTTATTATAATTTATAGGTTTTTCAAACTTGAATAAAACCAACTACGAAGGGAGTTCCTATGTATAGGACCAAATAAGGCTCGACTAAACAATACTGAACCGATTAAGGACAATACAAAACTTCCAACATACACGAGAACAAAGTAATGCGTGACTAACCAATCATCTTTCAATGTGGGACAGCACAAAGCCATCAAAACAACAATTTACTGTTCAGAGCAGTCAATTTCTAACAATTCCAAAATAATATCCATCGTTCACTTTAAAAGGAATAAAGAAGATAAGATTAAGAAAATCCTAAGGGGGATGACTTGTTACCTTGAACTTTTTAAGGCCAGCCTCTAGAGTTGCTTTGTTGGTGTTCTCCCAAGCCTCAATGGCACATATCTTTTTCCGAGCTCTGGAAATAATTTTCAGCGTACATTTAATAAACTGCAAACGAACTTACTCATGTGGCATGCATACATGAGTTTTGTAGCCATTGTATGATCATCTAGCAAGAAGTAAAGATACAAAACAGACTACAATCTTGACGTTATTCAACAACAATGAACAAACTAAGCCTTAATTTCTCGGTAAATTTGGGGTCGGCTAACAAATTTGGGCATTGCGGTATAGTAGGCACCGAGTCTAAGGAATAAAATCGAAATGTAAGTCATTTTCAAGTCTTGGCACGAGACATTTGGGTTCTTTTAGCCTGTAGTGAGTTTTTAGCTCATTTACCAAAATATTTCTTAGTCTTCTTTCCTTTGCTGCATCACATAATCATACATCATTGTTCACAGGTCACAACATTTGGTGCAGAAATTTGGAAAACTACTAGCAAATTTCATGGATAAAAGAAAGAACAGAGCACACTCGAGAATTGAAGGGCATACTTGTTTTCAGCTTTTGATTTCTCATTTCCTTCCCATGCTTTGATTAATGCCAACGTTTTCTTTTTCGCCACAGCCTCTGAAGACCATACATGTATATATGGACAAAGTTAAGTATTTTCCTAAGCATTTACGTGTGAAATTTCTCGAAAATGGAACAATAATTTGCAATGTTGGTTACCTCTATCCTTAGGCTTTTTCTTCACAGCAGGTACTGGTTCTTATGCCATAAACAAAAAGGCTCCAAAAATTAGCGAAAATAAATTATACTAAATTAATTGCTAAATAACTGAACATTATATCACATAACAATAAATTTAAATGAGGTGTATCGATATTATACCACTACAATAATGTATTAAAGTTTCGTTGAGATCCATTTATGAAAATTGTGCGTGTTAGGCTTTTCATAGAATATGATTGGGATGTGTTAAAATAACTTACTGATTCTCCAAATATGTTAAAATAACTTACCCTTTTTCTTAGTTTCAAGTAAAGCTACTTTCTTGTAAGGCGATCCTTGTCTTGCTATTTCCATGAATCAAAACTTACTTTAATTGCAAATAATTATATTTACTTGTAAATAAACTCATTAAGCTTAGCCAAACATATTCGTGCTCTCTCATTTAAAAGTTTAAGATTTTAAATCGCGCGGTTTAACCAGGCAACCAGCATATAACAAATTTACAGTAAAAGATATGGAAAATAAATTAGGAACTTTTATTTATAAGCTCAGATACCAAAAGTTGCATAAAAAGAGAGCCTTTTCTTTATTATGTGTACCCTTTTTGGGGGACAAACAAATGATAAAATTGGATTAGCACAAAGCCATGTTAAAACCAAAAATTCTAGTGAAAAAAACAGACGAATGAGAAGGGTGAATTTGCCTAGAAAAATTCTAGACTTCAAAACCAAGATAAGCAATTGAAAGCACCAAAAATAATTAACTTTAAGAGAAATTTACCTCAAACAACTATATGATCCAATTAAAATCCAAACGAAAAGTCCAATTCAATAGTTTTCAAACAAGTCACGAATCAATATCTTATGATGGGAGATGACATGTTCATACTAAAATTCTAACCGAAACAATCTCGAACCAACGACTCTTCTTAATCATCCACAGCTCAATTTCTAATATATAGATCCCTAAAACAACCACATACACATAAATTCTATATACATATACACACGCACAGAGGGGGAGAAGGGATAGTATATTACTTTCAACAATGTTAAGGGCTTTGAAATCTTCACATGGAGGAATGGGTCGCCTTTGGCCTTCGTTTCTCTTCACTTTCATGGCTTCCACCTTCGCCATCACTTCAGGCTATCTTTTCTTGATTAAAAATGGGGAATGAGTTGGAATAGCC